CTACATATTCTTTAAACAGTGGATTTCCATAGGGCTCTGTCCTAAATTCTGTGTATTACTCTGACCCTTCATTGTCCCATCCAATTCTGCAAATTCTGTTATCCATAACAGGACATACTAGCCTAGGAACCAGGGATAGTCTTTAGAGGCCTGTGATTCCTCTAAAATCATGTGTAATATTGGTGTGTTTGTACATAGCTTTTGTCATCTTCAAAGTTCTATGATGTGGATAATTCACAGGATTTTTTTTCTCTCCACTCGTGAGCCCTGGAGACCAGATCTCATTGCACCAAGGCTCCTCTACTTGGAGATCTCATAACTGAAGCTGAAACTTAAAAACTTAAAACTTACAATGCTTACCTTATCAATTTCCCTACCCCCTCTGAATACCTCCCCTGGCCCCAGGATTTTGTTCCTTCTTTTGTGTTTCCTGTTCACAGTGAAAAACATCATCATCTACCAGATTTTCCAAACCAAATACCAGGGAGCTTTCAGATTCTTCCTTTTTCTCTCTGCACATCTAACCTAACTCCTATGGGTTCTTCTAAATCTCTCTCAAATCTGTCCCCCCATTTTCAAGTCACTGCCCCTCCCACCCCTCACCTTTATTTGATGCAGTAGGCTTTTGGCAGATCTTCCTCTAGATTATCTTCAATCCATTTTCTATTTTGAGGCTGGAGTATGTTTTCTAAAGTAAAATATGAACACGTATTGCCTGGCTTTAACTCATGAGTCAATTTCTGTGAGCTCCAGGGTTCAACCTTGATAACATAACCTTGCACAAATTGTTCCACACTCTCCTGTATCTTCCCTTGCTTTAATCTCTCACTTTCCTTAGCCATATCTTTCCTCTGGCTCCTCAGACCTGCTGTATTCTCTCTCATCTCCTGTCCTTGAAATTTGCTTCTGACCCTCCTCTTCCAACCTTCCTCCTAATCTTCACTCCCTCCACCTCGGTCCCTTCCTCTTCTTGCACCACTCCTCCCATTCGCCAGGCTACCTAGTAATTGTCTTCAGTTCTCACTGCTTCGTGGAGGACTGGATAGATGAGATCTCCCTTATATGCCCCCACAGCACCTTTCCTTTCATGGAATCTAGGATTTAGCACACTCTGGGGACATGTTCGCCCCTGTCCTGCAAGCATTGTAAGCCTAGTGAGGACAAGGCTCACATCTGTTGGATTTGTGTTCCTGGTGTCTAGGATCAGGCTCCCCACACAGCACGTGCTCTGTTAAACACTTAGCGAGTGTATCACTGGAACAGTGAAGTGCAGGTAGAGGTCTAGGAGAAAGGCTTATCATTGGGATCATTGTCATTGGGTGACTAGGGCTTCAACTTAGTGCTGAAAATGATAGAATGTGGTTTAGGCAAGGTGAGAAAGAGTAGAAATCAAGGGATGGAAAAAATAGTATTAAAGTCTGGAAAAAGGACTTGACTCTGAGATGACAGGGCAAAGAAGTTATCAGTGGGTGGAGTTTGGCTCATGGGTGGTGGTATGTCCAGTGAGTACAGTCGTTTGCCTATAGTGTAGACATCAGATAAGAACAGATAGTGACCTTGAATACTGGGGTGAAGAGGGAAGCCACTGAAAGGGTCTGGGCAGGTGCTTTCATATTGGACAGTAGTAGTATTTCTAAAACTTCAGCTATTTGTACATACCTTTGGAATTTTTTTCTACATCTGTGTATTTTAACTACATATACTTCATATTTTCTCTAAATGAATTTTCTACTTAAATGATCTTTTTATTTTTATTTATTTTTTTTAAGATTTATTTTATTTATACAAGCACTGGGGTACAGGCCAGGGGTGCGGGAGGGTGAGCGAATCCACCAGAGACAGAGTGGGGAACAGAACAGGCAGAAGGACCAAAATACACTGCTGATCTTTTTAAAAGGAAATTACATCACAGTTGTACATGAGAAACAAATACTGCTTGTCGTTAATCGAAATAAACAAAAAATTGATGAAAAAATGTTGAATTTCATGTAGATACTGTTTTCTGCCCAAGTTGCTAAGTTTAAGATCTGCTCTATCTTTGTCATAAAGGGAGATAAATGAGTATTAAAAAAGGTAATAAAGATCTTTAACAAATCAAATCTTCTCTTTCACATAACCATAACAATAAAAAGAAAATTAAAAAGGGAATATATTTCTCACTATATGATTAGATATTATTTGATTCCTCATGTGGATGCCACATAAAATCATCTCTACTTCCATTAGAGTTACTTGCCTTCACTTTGGGCAATGATGGTAAAAAGGGGTCTGCAAACTTTTTCTGCAAATGCTTTAACCTCTACTGGCAATGCAATCTCAGTTGCAAATATGTAACTGCTGTTCAGCATGAAAGCACCTGCAGACAAAACTTAATGGAAGTGGTGTGGCAGTGTTTCAATAAAACTTTATTTCTAAAAACAGACATGAATTTGACCTATGGGATGTAATTTATTGACCTTTGGTCTTTTTTAGTGGTTTACTAATTTATGGTGTGATGGGGATTACTTGTGTTATGCATTGAATAATGTCTTTCTCTCCTCCAAATATATGTCAAAGTCCTAACTCCCAGGACCTCAGAATGTGACCTTATTTAGAAATAGGGTCTTTATAGAGGTAATCAAATTAAATTGAGTTCCTAGGGTGAGTTCTAATCAAGCATGCCTGATGTCCATATAAAAAGGGGATATTTGGACACAGAGGCAGACACATACAGAGGGAAGGTGAATATTGTAAGCCAGAGAATGCTTGAGACTACCAGATGCTAGGAGATAGATCTAGAATATATCCATCCCTGGTGCCCTTGGAAGGAGCACGGCCCTGCCCATATAGAAATCAGTGTCCAGAACTATGAGGCATAATACATTTGTGTTACTGTAAGCCCCCCAGTGTGTGCTAGTTTATTACCACAGGCCTAGAAAATGAATACAAACTGTGTGTTTTTTGAATATAAATTTTGGAGCCTCATCTAAGAAATATTAAATAAGACTATTCATGTGTAGGAACAAGGTATATGTTTTATTTTATTTTATTTAAAGATTTATTTATTTATACAAGCACCGGTTATAGTCAGAAGCGCGGGAGGGTGAGAAAATTCACCAGAGCCAGAGTGGGGAGAAGAACAAGCAGAATGACGAAATACACTGCTGAGGGGAGCAGCGGGTGTGGCAGGAGAGGTCTGTGTGCCATGTGGGACCCTTACTGGCTGCCGGGGATTGAACCAGAGCTGCAGAGGCTGTGGGCAGCTTTGCAGCCCAGCGCTCAACCGCTGCGCCACTGGGGAGGTCCCAAAGTCAGATTTCTAAACATTAGACATTTTGTTATAAAAGGAAAGGTAAAATATTAGGAAGAAATATTGTCAAAATATGTGTTTTTTCCAATGTGGAGATGTGTGCCTGGTCAAAGGTGCAGAGGAAGTAACCAGAAAAGAAATAGTGAAATCTCTAAAGTACCTAGACCAGAAATGGCTTCCCCTTCTGATATGTGGTAGAACTGGGAGATATTCTTTGGTTTTTAGTGTTTTTCCTTTATGCCCAGTCTCTGCTTTCTCACATAGATAAGCATTTCCTCCCCCCCACCAATTGTTAAAAATATTGTTGTATTTTACAAATCTCCTTATAAATTTTTCTAACCACTTATAGTCTAGGCAATAATAAGGCAGGAATTGTATTTGTCTGGAAACATCTTCTAAAGGTTCTTAAGTGTTTATGAATTATAATTTAGTGAAACCATTTCTCATAGCAGCTCATCTATGTCTCTATCAGTATATTTTTCTATCTACATAATACATATTCCATTTATTTCTAAAGATTGATTTGAGGTAGCTGCTATATAATGATTACAAATTGCAGATGTATGGTTACAAATAATTATATAGATTCCTCAGGACAATCACAAAAGAAAAACTAGAAAATGACTAATCATTGACAAATTATTGTGAAAACAAATTGCTAGAAAAGATACTGCTAAACAATTTCATGACAAATTGGTTATGAAAATGCACAGCAAGACATTTTTTGTATAAAATCCATCTTTGACAAGGGGGAGAATGACTCAAAGAGGGCTTTGCTCTGGGCTGTCTGAAGGGAGCATCTAATTTTATCAGTCGAAGATCAGACAGAGCCAGCTGAAACTTGAGCCAACAGAGATGAGGTGTCCTACACACTCCCCTGGCTTTATTATGACATCAGTGACTGACTCCAGACTTCAAACACATGGCTATGGAAGAAAAAGGATTTTGGCTGCCTTTTCCAACATCTATTCCAATATTGACAGAAAGCAAAAAAGTTAAAAAAAAAATACCTAAGTCTAAAATATCAATACAAAATAATAGACTCAAGAGGACACAGGATGCAAAAAGTCTGAATAGTAAGAATTCACCACTGGCCTGCCAGGGAGCATGTGGATTTTAATGCCACTTCAGGGCAATAAAAATGAAATGTCCCACCATCTTAAAGGTTTGGGACTTCTAATAGAATAAGCATTTGATTAATGAAACAACATGTACTATAAAGAACAAGGGATCATAAAAAGCTGGTTTTAACAGCCTAAGTACCTTTTGCAGCTTAAAGTCTTTTATCACCTTGTAAATCACCCCTGGAGAGAAATAACCAAAGTGAGCCAAGGCAGACTTCCATTACCAGCCCGTCCACGTTGGGACCTTGGCTCTAGTTTCTCAAACATACTGTCTTTGCTCACTCACTGTGGTACCTTGCCTTTATTATGGGGTAGGACAACTGGTTGCCTCTTACAGGCAATGTCTCAGAACAAGTATGTCCCCTCAGGAGGCACTTTCCCGTGATGTCTTTATTCTGCAGTCATGCATGCCTCTATTGGTAGAAATTAACCATGAGTACTAGCCAGCTTGTCCTCTCCCCCACCCCCCGCAACCCCCAAGCTTGTGGCTTGTAGCAGCGAATGTTAATCTCCCCCAGGTTGGTGTGTGGGTTGGCTGCACTGGAATTCAGATCTGTTCTATGTGCCTTTCATTTCCAGGGCCCTGGTGGAAGAAAACTGGCATAGGGTGTGCTGTTCTCACTGTGCAGGGAAGGAGCACAGCAGGGTGAGTCACACAACCAAATTCTTCTAAACTTGGTGTACTTTGTCCTCTGTAGGGCTGATCTCGATGTCAGTGGAAGGGAAGTACATTTACCCACAGCACATCCTGACCTGGATGAGGAAGGAAGCGTGAACTGGGATTATATCATCCTGTTGACCATACTGTGAATTACACAGATGTGGATCATGCAGGTACCTAACTAGAGAGCCTGGACAGGAGTTGATGATTTCTGAGGTCACAGTGTATGTTCTAGTCCAAGGAGACTGATGCATATGGTATATGTTAGTAAAATGGCAGGAAAGAATCCTTACTTCTGTAATTATGATTTACTTAGGTTTACAGCTTTGGCCTCAAGCAAATTTTTGACAAACTAGAGACCCTTGAGATATATACTAGGAACTGCAAAATGCAGGCTGTACATGTGATTTTGTATAATCATGTAATCTTGTAAGGTGGTTATTGATAACTCTGTTTTTCATACAAGGGAACAGAAGCTTGGGAGCCAAATTGCATGAATGGTCAATTTGCTGGGAAGTCCAGACTTGGGATTTGAACCCACGTTTGTCTAATATCTCAGGCTTAAGTTTATGTATACATGTGACTCACATACATATGTTTCTTTAGAGTATGTGAATATATATAAAATATATTGACATATACATGTTATATGTTAACATGAGTGTAAACTATGGATTTTGTTTAACTGGAAATGTCAGTGTAGGTTGATCGATTGCAACGGTTGTACTGCTACATTGCCCTGGATGTTGATAATGCAGGAAGGCTGAGCATGTCTGGGGATAGGTTATATGGGAACTCTGAGTACTTTTCACTCAATTTTTAAGAGGTATTCAATTGAGATATTGATAAATAACATGATGGTAGTTTCAGGTATAACATCATGCTTTGTTGTTTGTACACATTTACAAAATAATCACCACAATAAATGAATCTAGTTAATATCTGTCACCATACACAGTTACAATTTTTTTCTTTGCACAAAAATTGAGATTTACTTTCTTAGCAACTTTCAAATATGCAATAAGCTATCACTAACTATAGTCACCATGCTACACATTGCATCCCCATAACTTAACATATTTTATATCTGGAAATTTGTACCTTTGTCTCTCTTTCACCATATTTCCCCACTGACAGTCACCAAATTTCCCTCTGACAATCACTAACCTGTTTTCTGTTTATGAGGTTGGTTTTGTTTTCAAGTGGGAGCATATGGAAGTTTTCTTTCTCTGGTTGATTTCTTACACTTAGCATAAAGCTCTCAAGGTTCATTCTTATTGTTGCAAATGGCAAGATCTCCTTCATTTTTATGACTGAAAAATATTCCATTGTATGTAGATGCCACAATTTCTTCATCCATTGATAAACACATATGCTGTTATCATGTATTGACTATTATAAATAATACTGCAGTTAACATGAGGATGTACCTTTTAGAGTTAGTGTTTTTGTCTTTGGTTAAATACTGACAAGTGGAATTGCTGGGGCATATGGTAGTATTATTTTAAATTGTTGAGGGACATCCATGCTGACTAATGTCTGTACCAGTGTACTTCCCAGCAACAGTACACTATGTTTCCACTTTCTCCATGTTGTTGCCAATACTTGTTATCAGTTGCCTTTTTGATAATAGTCTTTCCAATAGGTGTGACGTGATAGTGAATTGTGGTTTTGATTTGTGTTTCTCAGATGATTAATGATGTTGAGCATGTTTTCATGTACTTGTTGGCCAGGTTTATGTCTGGAAAAAGTCTGTTCAGATTCTCTTCCCATTTTTAATTGTATTTTTTCCCTTGCTGTTGAGTTGTATGAGTTTTTAACATATATTTTGTATATTAACCCTCTATAAGATATATGACTTGCAAGTATTTTCTCCCATTTGGAAGGTTGCCTTTTCATTTTGCTGATGGTTTGCTTTGCTGCACAGAGACCTTGTAGTTGCATGTTGTCCCACTTGTTTAGTTTTGCTTTTGTTGTCTTTGGTATGGGTGTCAAATCCAAAATCCGTCACCAAGACCCATGTGAAGGATCCTACCACTCAGGTTTGTTTCAAGGTGTTTTATGGTTTTAGGTCTTGCGTTCAAGTCTTTACAGCATTTTGAGTTAAGTTTGTTTATGGTATAGGAGAGTGGTCCAGTTTCCTCCCTACACATGTGGCTTATCCAGTTTTCCCAGCATATTTTTTGCGGACTATCTTTTCCTCTTTGTATTTTCTTGGTTCCTTTGTTTTTCACTCAATCTTGATGTGAATCTAAAACTGGTCTAAAAGGTGAAGTTTATTCATTGAAATAAATGTAGGAGAATTCTATTGTCTACAGAGGAAGAAATATTTGCTTAAGGATGCTATGGCAATGGATTTGTTGGGAATGAAAAATAGAAATAATCTGGGGGATAAGGCATGAGAAATATATTAAGTAACTTCATATACCTGTAAGCAACCATTAAATTATTATTTAGAAGAATATTTAATAACATTGAAAGTATGAACAGTGAGAAGAGATTATAAAGCAGTATGTATTATGAAACCTCAAATTTGTAAAAAGAATGCTAAAAAATGAACAGTGAATAATTCTTGGTAATCTATCTTTAGGTGACCCCACCTCCACACACCCAACAAATTTGTTAAATGAACATATTTTGCTGTTTTAACTTGTAGGATGGTACCCTCCTGCTGACCTGTAACTCCCCAGAATGGCCTTGCTAGCCATTCTCAAGCTGGGAAAACCTCACCTTTCTCTGTGCCGAGTGGATACTATAGGGAAACTTTGTCTTAGCAGCCATGTCTTCTCTAGGCCCCAATTTGGGGTCCAGGGGTAATGATACAGAAGAGGCAAATGGTCTTGCAGAAATTAGTTTTGCTCCAAAATAGTGCTTAGTGCTGGTTCTTTCTTCCGAGCTTACATGTACTTCATTATTTTTATTATGTAGTTATGGCAAAACACAATGCAACAATTATCAACCATTTAAATGTTAAGAAAGAAGAAAAAAATAAATCAGAACAACAATCACAACTATAAAATCCCAAACAAAACGTCTCATTTATTGTGAGAAATGGGAGCATCTTTTTTATAAGTTCTCCTCAAGACAGAACAGACAAAAAACAAGAGATACAACAATTGACTATTTATAAATGGTAAAAATTTCTCCAGCAGGAAAACAGCCGCAGGCTCTATAATAATTGCACTTAAAAGAACTAACATCTTTTGAGTGTATACTATGTACATGAAGCATTTTTCTACCCAAAGCATGTTTTGTAGTTATTTTTCAACAATTCTCCATTTTATTGACCTATTTTTTAAAAAAGATTTATTTATTTATGCATGCAAGAGCTAGGGCACAGACCAGAGATGTGGGGGAAGGGAGGGTGAGAGGATTCCCCAGAGAGAGTGTGGGGAACAGAACAGGCAGATTGACCAAAGTACACTGCTAAGGGAGCAGTGGGCGAGTCAGGAGAGGTCTGCTGTGCCATGTGGGTTGCTCCCTGGCAGGCTGGGGATCGGATTGCTTCATAGTGTGGTGCTTAACCCCTTGCACCTCCAGGGAGGCCCTTGACCTAATTTTTTGATTAAATTTGAAAACATTGAATTGTTCTGAATTTACTTTTCATTTTCCTATTAAAAGAGTAATTTGCATTTTAATGTAATCTATTGGGCTTTTTTTTTAAAACCCATGACCTATTATATGATTCTAAAGTCATCGAGTCTTTATTATTGTGACTTTTTCTTATGTGAGATGATAATATTGAGTTCATTTTTACTTCTGGAATCAAATTACTTTCAGTGTGCAATTTGGGCACCAGTAGAGTGAAACAAGAATTTAACTTAAAGAATGTAGTCCACTGAGTGTGTGTGTGTGATATATATGTATATATTTCACCTGTGTGTGTGTATGTTTGTGTGTGTGTGTGTATATATATATATATATATATATATATATACAGGTGAAATATATACATATATATCACATATATATACACACAGGTGAAATATATACATATATAGCACACACACATATATATATATATATATATACAAGTGAAAATGATATATATATCTCATGAAGTTTTTATGCCAGTTGTCTATTGATAGACATTGAAGTTAATTCCATGTCTTGGCTATTAATGCATCTATGATCATAAGGTTGTTTAAGTTTTTTCGTATACTTTGGGCAAATACCTAGGATTGATATTGTAAGAGCATATTGTATTTTCATTGTTACAGTCTTAAGTAATTTCCATATGGGTTCTACCAATATGTATTCCAACCAACAGTGAATGAGTGTTCCTTTTTTTCCCACACCACATTGTCATCGACATTTGTTGCTTCCAGTCTTTTTGATATAGGCCATTCTCACAGGGGTGATGTGAGATATCAGTGTAGGTTTTTGTTTTCATTTTTCTTATAATGTGATATTGAATGCTTTTTTCATGTGCCGGTGGGCCAACTGTATGTCTTTTTTGGAGGAGTATCTGTTATTATTTAGGTTTGTTGCACTTTTTTTTTCCCATTGGATTGTTTTTTAATCTAGGTTTTCCAATTTGTTTGCATATAAATATTCATAGCAATCTCTTGTGATCCTTTGTATTTTTGCACTATCAACTACAATTTCACCTTTTGCATTTCTAATTCTTTTTAATATGGTTTTCTCTTTTCCTCAGTGAACTTAGCTAAGGGTTTGTTGATTTTGTGTATTTGTTCAAAGAACCAGCTCTTAGTTTTATTGATCTTTTGTATTGGCTTTTAGTTTATACTTAATTTATGTCATTTTTATTATTTCCTTCCTTCTGATTTTTGGTTTCATTTTTTTCCAGTTCCTTCAGATGTAAAATTAGATTGAGACTTTTCTTGTTTATTTATGTGGGCCTATATTGCTATGTAATTCACACTTAATACCACCTTTATTGTACCCCATGGGGTCTCATAGCTTAACTTTTCATTTTCATTGGATTCAGCTGCATTATCTTTTTCCATGTTGCATTCTGGGGT